CTATTTGAATATATTTTTAAATGATTGCTGTGATCAAAGCTGTTTTCAGCATCATTACTCCAGTCTTCAGTGTCACATGATCCTTCAGAAATCATTCTAATATGCTGATAAACATTTTTTTATATTATTATCAATATTTAAAACAGTTGAGTAATTTTTTTCAGGATTCTTTGATGAATAGAAAGATCTAAAGATCAGCATTTTTCTGAAATAAAAAGCTTTTGTAACATTATACACTATACCATTCAAAAGCTTGGAGTCAGTATAATTTTTTTCTTTGGGAAAGAAATGATAGAAATTACTATTTTTATTTAGCAAGGATGCTTTAAATTGATCAAAAGTGATGATAAAGACATTTATAATGTTACAAAAGATTTATATTTCAGATAAATGCTGTTCTTCTGAACTTTCTATTTATCAAAGAAACCTGAAAACAATTATACTCAGCTGTTTTCAACATAACAACAACAACAACAATAATAATAATAATAATAATAATAACAATAATAGTTTTCTGAGCAGCAAATCAGAATATTACAATGATTTCTGAAGGATTATGTGACACTGAAGACTAGTAATATATATGTAGTAATGATGCTAAAAATTCAGCTTTGATCACAGGAATAAATTACATATTAAAATATATTCAAATACAAAACAGTTATTTTAAATAGTAAAAGTATTTCAAAATTGTACTGTTTTTGCTGTACTTTGGATCAAATAAATGCAGGCTTGGTGAGCAGAAGAGACTTCTTTAAGAAACATTAAAAATCTTACTGTTCAAACAGTTTTGACTGGTAGTGTATAGGCAACTTTAATGCTATGTCAGTTAGCACTGCATTGTTCATATACTTTATTTATTACCTGGAGATTGTGGTGTTGTGTTAAATTTCAGTCATTTTGACAGTAAAAGTTGACAAGCTCTCCGATGAGAAACAGCAGGATGGGATTCAGGCTGCACCCTCTTTCCAACATGCCAGCTGATCTGTGACTCAGTGCATTTGGTACCATAACTGTTGACTGTCTGAATGAACCTGCAAGCACAGGAAAAAAACATTCTTTTTCAAAGCAGTGTTTACAGAATTTGCCTCAACTGTCAAACTTGTTGGTGCTGTATGCACTTTGACGTTAATAAAAATGTTATATACTACATCTGAACGCACCTACAAGAAAGGTACATAATTAGTTGATAATCCATCATATTCAAATTATTAATGCTCCATTTTTTACAATGCATTCTCAATCAGTAGAGCAAAGTGCTGAAATAATGGGTTTGATTCCAGGGCAGTTCTACAGTGAGTGGATATCCGGGGCTTAGCCCAGAAACATTAATGCATGTATCAGAATACACGGGATACACTTCAAATAAAATAGGCTATGCTGAAAAGTTACATTGGCTAAGTGGCTTAATTTTTTATTTTTAAAGAGACAAGTATAATTAATTATAATTTGCACTTACAAATTGCATAAATAATATTACAGTGTTTCCCACAGACTTGCACTCTATTTGTGGAGGCATATATATGCAAATTCATTATCTGCCAGCAGAAGGCGCTGTTGGAGTGATAGAGATCAAGGTTTCCCCGGTAATGGCTGTACACAAAGCAGTGCTCCGCTCACAAACGCTGCTTTATCAGACATTACATGCAAGAAGAAATGAAAATGACATCCAAAATTTTCTGAAGACAGTCGGTTTCCTTCAGAAATACAGTGATATAAAATTACCCGCACCGGGTTTCGATTTTGAAACGTGCAGTGCTCATGTTTATTCAACATGTGCTAGCATGTTCCTCTCTTTAAAAAGTCAACCTGTTCTGTGAGTTAGTGGAGAACAGCAGCTAGAGGCTAACTTAGTAACATTAACGTTAGTTAAGTTGATGGAAGCTCACCTGCTGTTAGCACCGCTACGAGGCAATCACAAGACTCCAATACACCTCCGATGCAGACGACATGACCACAAACTTGAAAATAAAATACAAAAGATGTTTTTAACAGTGGTGTTTCTTAACTCAGTTTTCCTCAAAGACTCCAATACACCTCCGATGCAGACGACATGACCACAAACTTTAAAATAAAATACAAAATATGTTATTAACAGTGGTGTTTCTTCACTCAGTTTTCCTCAGTAGGTTGTTAGCTCACTGTTTTATGTTAACGTTATGTCTGTCACTGAATTTAGGGACCGTCTCTAAAGTTACATACGACATTGGTACACACTTTCTGACTTAAATAGCATTTGAAGATAATTACCTTACTTGCGCTTGCGATAAAGAGGCAGAGGAGAGAAGATAACTTACTATGCTTCTCTTTGTTCAACTAAGTTAGTTAACTTCGGCTAACTGACATTATTAACTTACCAGTTGATGTTATCATCGATACTATGGCATTCACAAGAAGAGGTTCCAAAATGCACCTCCGACGTTGCAGACTACAGCCAGACTAGAAATCTGAAAATAACAAACAAAAGAAGTACTAGAAAATACTGTTTAAAATCTCCACTGAAACAGCGGTTTGCCTAACGCACTTTACCTCAGTATTTCACCTTAATTCGGTGTTAAAACCTCTTAAACTCTGCGGACCCGGATACGGGTCCAAAATCGCATAAAAAATGTTTATGCTTCATTTACATAGCCTTCCTTATATGGTATCAGCCCATATATGGGTTCTTTTCTTTGGGTCCTTTTGGTTTTTATATTCATAAAGCAGTAAAATTAAGCTTAGAAATGTATTCGTCCCACACACGATCACCAGTCGATGTTATCAGCCTTTTGGCGGCATTCCGGCCGTCAGTCAGAAAAAAAGGCTCCAACTACCGACATGAAACATGACACGATGAATAATGTTAGTTTGCTGTTAACAAGTGAAAACATCTTAAAATATCGCAGTTTTGCATAAAACAGAAATAATATGCTAACCGTTTGTCGAGTTAACGGTGCATTTCTCTTTTGTCCTTTTACGGCCACTTCCACCAAACAGTCAAAAAATAACTCCCTTGCCATTGGTTAGTTTTTCGTGGGCAAGTTCACTACTGTAAATTTACAGTAGTTTACTGTAAATTGATTTACAGTAGTGAGGAAATACAGTAGTGACCGTATATTTTCCCATAATCCATTGCTGTTTACAGTAAAATACTATATACACATTTTACAGTATCTTACTGTACATATTACAGTAAAATACTGTTCAATTTACAAAAATCGATTATAGTGTACTGTTAACCTGATATTACATCACAGTGTTTGAAAAAAAAAAAAAGGATTTCATTGCAAATTAAAGCATTGGTTTTATTCATATGTATATAGATTATAGATACAAAGTTTGTACATTTATTTTACATTTGTGGTAAAACCAAAAAAAAAAAAAAAAAGGTACATGAAAGGACAGATAAGTTACCTGAAATGGTTTGATTGTTGTGTCAGGAATTTTCAAACACATAACAATGGGGTCACATATTCTGATGCCCCCTTTAAATAGATTAGTAGCCTGTTTTTGTGACATCAGCTTCATGAACATTGTTAAACATTTATGTTGCATACAAAATGCAAAAACAGGCTACTCTGCAAACAACTGCGTTGTATTTAATCTCATGAAATTTTTAATTGGTTTAATAAGCCTGTTGAATAACCAGCATTTCTAAACAAACAATCCACACAGTCACTTTAATTTGTATTTATTTAAGAAGCAGTTAAGAAATTGTACAAACATATTCAGGAGAACATTCAAGAGGATCTACAGTAACCTACATAACACTTAAGGCTAAAACATAAGCAGAGGAAAAAATGTAATTGAAAAAAGTAGATTTTTCTAAATTTAAAAGTATTAGAAAATGAATAAATAAATACAAATTATTTAATGTAACAGCTGTACTGTTCATATTAGACCAAAATTCTTTCCTGGATAGGCTATAAAATAGAGGAGGTTACACATTACCAAAGTGAATTGACGCGACCAGACTGTATTGATGTGCTCATACAATGTGCACGGGCGCCAAGCGCGTTCAAGTGCGAACATTTTATGAACCTGTAGTCACAGATCTCACCTATGTTTGAAGTTACGGTGTTTGCGTACCTAATCCGCCTATGTGATCGAGCCAAACAGTGACAACAACGCCTACTAGGGTCACAGAATACGATGGTCACAGAATTTGGTGTAACACTGTAGCTCCATGAACATTTCCTCCATTGTAAAATTACACCTAGCAAGACCGATACGTTACCATTGTCTCTCTTTCGTTTCGGCTTGTTTGAAAGCTTATACAAAGGCGCTTCTGTGCTCCTATTGGCCAGTGTCACAGATGTGATGGAACTTGTCGTGTACGACAGAAAAAAAAAAATTCATTAAATGATAAACTGTTTCCTCTAAAAAGCTGTTTATTCAGCGCAGCGTAGCGTAGTATGCGATTTCGGACGCATTCGTTTTCTTCTTCTTCTTCTTCTTGTTTCTTTTAATTGACTAAGGAGGTTGTTCAAAAAATATTGTACATTATAATTTCTCTTTTTGAGCGCTTCTGTATGGGAATATGAGAGAATGGACTAAATGAAATTCGTAGCAAGATTAAACATTTTTCTTAATAATTTCACAATATAAATAAATTTAAACAACAGTAAATACATATTAAGGCACAATTGAGAGATGGATGATGCGGCTTTTTGAGCCCTCTGCATGATAAAGAATGTTTAGCTTCTAGAGTCCTTATGCGCCAGAGAAACAAGCTTGGAGTCATTTTTAGAATGTTTTGTTTGAATTTTAGCAGCAGAAGAAGCCTGGCCATGGCTACTTGATTTGGGAGCCATGTGGACAGAGCCCTTGTGTATATATCAGCCTTAGAGCATGGTGCTTGCAATGTCACAGTACATTCTATTTGCTATTATTATTATTATTATTATTAGGCTATCTGCTACTGTAAATATATTATTATTATTATTATTATTATTATTATTATATTACCTATTATTGTACTATTAATTACACACTATTTTATATATCATATTATGGACTAATTTATTTGACCATTTATACTATGTACCATGTCATTTCTATGCATGAGTAATAACAGATTATCTTGTATAATTTGTCAACATATTTGTTTTAGTTTTCATGAGCACTGTTAATGATACACAAAAAGTAATGTGATTTTTGTATTCAGCATATCAAACTTCATAAAGAAGCATTAAAAATAAAAGCGAAACAAAACTTTAAAAAGATTCACAGTGTTCCATGTATTAATGTTTGTTTTGAAGTACATATATGTATCTGTTTAGTTCTATAAAAAATCAAAAGCAGACTGCCGGTGTGTCACTATTTGATTTGTATTAGCTGAGTTAATGGTCAATTATCAGTACCTAAATATGTATTATTTCAATGTTTCCCAGTATTTCAAAGGGAATGAGCTGTGTTCTCACCTAAAGCACAATAAAAACTAAAATATTGGGGCTGAAAAAAGAAAAGGTAATTTCCAGGTTACAGACATTATTCGGTGGAAATCAGTTCATTGTTGAATGTCACCCATAACCCTCGGGTCTTCAGGTGCTTCTCAAACAGTCTTTCCTGCAGGCCTTCTAAGGCAGGGGTGCCAATCCTGTTCCTGGAGATCAACCTGTAGAGTTAATTTCCAACCCTGATCAAACACACCTGTCTGTAATTCAAGTGCTGCTAAAGAACTTAATTATTTGGTTCAGTTGTGTTTGATTAGGGTTGGAACTGAACTTTGCAGGAAGGTAGATCTCCAGGAACAGGACTGGGCACCCCTGTTCTAAGATATGCAGCCTTACTAGGATGTGTCCTTCGGTTTGAAAAGCACCCTTCATTTGAGTCCACACTTTCATGATGTAATGCCACTTTGACTGTCAGGTAGACGTCTGCTGCAGAGCTCATCTCAGTGCAGGCTCGGCAGAAGTGAGCATCGAGGGCACACAACGGCTGCAATAGGGACGCTTGCGAGCACCCTTCTAAAAGTTAAAATCACACGGCAGGCATTGTAAGACCACAAATACACATGAAATATGCTATTTGGAACAGGGCCAATGTATTTATTATTATGTCTATAGTTTGATCAAGCCCAGTACATTATGGGCGTTTCCTCCCTTTTCTCATCACAGCCATTTCTTTGTTTTCTCTAGTTGTGTATCACCTATTTTTAAAGGGGTCATATGATGCGATTAAATTTTTCCTTTCTCTTTGGAGTGTTACAAGCTCTTGGTGCATAAAGAAAATCTGTAAAGTTGCAAAGACTAAAGTCTCAAATCCAAAGAGATATTCTTTATAAAAGTTAAGAGTCAACCACGCCTACCTAAAACGGCTCGTTCTAACACGCCCCCACATACCTACGTCACGATGTGGGAAGATTTGCATAACACAGCCCAAATGTTCA